ATCCCTTCTCCATGCTTCTCTCAGGATCTTGGGCATGCATGCACATGCGCCCAGTGTGAGTTTAAGCTGCCGGGTCCGGGACTCAAACTGTGGTTGACTATGTGCGAGTCCAGCAACATAGCCATTACACTAACTGCTGGTCCCATGTGCAAGTGTTTTACTGATGATTTTTGCATCTGTATTTATCAGCGATATTGATTTATAGTTTATATTTTGTTGTGTCTTTGCTATTAGTATCAAGGTGACAGTGGCTTTAAAAAATGAATTTTTGAGGTTTCCTTCCAATTGAATCTTTATGAATAATTTGATAAGAACTGGTGTTAATTCTCCTTTAAAAGTTTTGTAGAAGTCCGGCCAGGTGGCATGGTGGTTAAGGCCACTGTATACTACATACAAACCTGGCAGTTTGAGTCCTGGACCCAGTGGCTTTAGAGACACACAGGAGATGAGTGTGTGCATGTCCAAACTCCTGAGAGGAAAATGGAGCAGAAGGGAAGAATAATTTCTTACATTCTCCTCCTTCTCTCTTTTTCTGGTCCTCATTCCCATGTTGCGCAATCACACACACTGTATAGCCAAAAATAAATAAATAAATAATTTAAAAAGAAAAAGAAAAAAGACCAAGAAAGGAAAAAAAAGCTTTTGTAGAATTTGGAAATGAAGCCATCAGGACCTGGGCCTTTCTTTGTTAGGAGACTATTATTCTATTTCATCGCTTTTCTGTTGGTATATATATGCTTTCTATTTGATGGTATGATCCAGTATATGTTATTTTTTTTTTCTTCAGGGTGCATGTGCATGCTAGAGAAACAGAAAGTGATAAATCCTGCCAAGGGATAATGACCACACCACAATCCCTTCTCCTTTATTGTTGGGATTTTGGATACTTATGCACACACCTCTGTTGTGAGTTTCAAGGACTTTTAACAATGATCATCCATGTGAAGGTGAGAAATCACTCCTCCTGGGTGGTGACCATTCCTCATTCCCTTCTTCATTTTCCTCTTAGGATTTGGGGCATGCACACACATGCACCCAGTGATGCCAGTTCCAGGACTCAAATAGTAAGTCAGTCATATAGGATCCAGCTGCCTTAATCATCATGCCACTGGCTGGCCCTCAATTGTTCTTTTAGTCTCTGTTTTATTTATGCCTGTTCTAATTTTTATTATTTTATATCTTCTACTATTAATACTTTTGGGATATCTTGTTCCCACTTTTTCAGTTTTCTGGGATAAGTCATTAGGTTATTTATCAAGTTTTTTAACGTGTGTGTGAAAGTGCTAATTGCTGTAGACTCGTCTCTTAGGAGTGCTTTTGATGTGTTGATGTGTTTGAAAGCATCTGCAGAGTTGTGATTAAAGTATTACTTGTTTCAAGAAATTTTTATTTGTATTCTTAATTTATTCAGTAATTTTGAAGCTACTCAGAGTAAATTATGTAATTTTCATGTATTTGTAAATTTATTTTTATAATTTTTTTTTTGGAGAGGTTTTTGCTATAGGGCACGTGCGCTTGCCAGACAGACAGACAGAGAAACAGAGAGACAGAAAGTGAGAAATCACCCCCTCAGGGGCATGGCCACACCACAATCCTTTCTCCTCCGTTCTCCTCTTGGCATCTTGGGCATGCATGCACATGCGTCCTGCATGAGTTTTAAGTCACCATGTCCAGGACGTGAACTGCGATGGTCTACATGGGAGTCCAGTGACATAGCCATTACGCTAACTGCTGTTCCCTGTATTTGTGAATTTTCGAAAGCACTTTCTGTTGGGGTTTAATTTCATCATATATAGTAACAAATAAGTTGCTATATATAATTTCTGTTTTCTTTTTAGTTTTAAAGACTTGTTTTGTTCTCTATTATGTGGTCAGTCTTCAGAAATACTCTATGCCTGGCTGAGAAAAATGTGTATTTTGATGTTTTTGGCCAAAATCTTCTGTAAATGTTGGTTAGTTTATTTGGTTTATTGGATCATTTATGTTCTGTGTCTTTTTTTTTTTTCATCTAAATGATCTGTCCATGGGTGACAGTGCAGTGTTGAAGTCCACATGAATTAGCATGTCACTATCAGTCTTTCTGTTCATATTTAGCAGTCTTTCTTTCTGATTTTGAATGCATAAAGTTTTATAATTTTTATATCTTCTTGGTGAATTAATCGTATTAATACAATATGGCCTCTGATTCTTTTTACACTTTTTAAAAAAATGTTTTTACAATAAAGTGCATGCATTCTCACCAGGAGAGAGAAGAAAAGTGAAAAGTCACCCCCCAGAAGGGATGGCTACACTGCAATCACTTCTCCTCCATTCTCCTCTCAGGATGTTCTTTATGCATGCTCATGAACTTGGTGTGATTTTCAAGCCTCCAAGTCTGGGATTAAAACTGCACAATCAGACATTTGGGATCCAGATGCCTTAAGTTACATGTACAAGCTTGTGTATACTTGCTCTCTCTCTCTCTCTTTCTCTCTCTCTTTCTACCTAAGTTATTTAATTTTAGTTATTATGATTTTTTAACTGACTATATGGCACACACACTGAGCATTGGGGGATAGGTTCCAAAAAGCAAGCCACCAGGTCCTGTTCCAGAACTCGAACCATGGTCTGATATGTAATATTTCAGCACCTTAACCTACTTGCCAGCTCCCCTGTCTTCATATTTTCTTTAATGTCCCTTTTTAATTTCAGTTGACTAGTACCTTACATATATTGTTAGTTACTGTGATAGACTATCTTTATCCTTCAGTGCTTCTCTCATAACTGTGATACTGCCATTCACACCAAGATATATATATATATTATGTTAAAGAACAGCACCCTAAATCTTTTCTTAAAGGCATTTAATATACATCAATATTTTTAAATATACTCTCTGGATGGAGCACAGAATTTCTTTTGATAGAGCTGTGAATAATTTAAAATATATTAGCACTAAATCATTTTTTAAAATTTCTAGAATGTTAAAAATTTAGACCAGCCTATGGTTTGAAAGTTAAGGCAGCAGGATCCCACATGCCAATTGCATGGTTTGATTCCTGAACCCAGTATCTTAAGAATCACAGTAGGCACATGTACTTGTACAACCTAAATTCTGACAGAAGGGAGAAATGGAGGAACATGAATTGTGTCATGAACGTTCCTCCTTTGAGATGATCTTTTACTTTCTATCTGCATCCTCCAGAAACACATGAACACTTTATAAATTATTTAACAAACTTTTTCTTGTTTTAAATGGTCTGATTCTATTTCTCTATCAGTAAATATTATTTTTTTAATATTTAATTTTATTTTAACTTCTTTTATACATTGAATCACATATGTCACTTAGCTTGTAAAGTGAATGTTCCAATAGGAGTGCATTTCTCACCAGTCCAGTTGAAATTTTGTACTTTTTTCCAATCTTGAATTCTCTTAACCTACCAGTTGACCTCAGGTCCACTTTCATTGATTAGAATAGCTTCAGCTATCATTTGAATTTCTTTATTTTATTTTTAAAATTTTTTGGAGCGACTTTTGCTATAACGTGCATGTGCTAGCCAGACAGAGAGAGGCAGAGAGACAGAAAATGAGAAATCACCCCCCAGGGGAGATGGCCACACTGCAGTCCCTTCTCCTTCATTCTTCTCTCGAGAGCACACGCGCCCGGCGTGAGTTTTAAGCCACCGGGTCCGGGACATGAATCGCGGTCAACTACATGGGAGTTCAGCGACATAGTTATTATATAAACTGCTGGTCCTGCTATCACTTGAATTTCTGCTGCTTCCTAAGTATTTGGCTACTGAAACTTTGAAGAATATATGTACAAGATTTACCTGTCTACTGCTCAGATTTTTCCTAATTTTAATTTTTAACTCCCATATTAATATGCCTGCTTAAATAGAAACAATCGGTTAAATTTCTATTTTGATTCAGTGTCAAAAAAATTAGTACCAATTTTTTCTGTTGAACCCTATTATATCTTGGTTTTAACTATATTATTTCATTTAGAGTATCCTTAGTCTGCACTGTGTGGATGGCAATTAAACTGCAAATCCGATCATATAATGTATCACTTCTTTTGGTTTTATATTATTTATACTCTGTGTTTTAACAAGTGATAAAGTGATATTCATCTTTATTTAGACTCTCAATATTTTTTAATGCACAACTGTAGCATATCTTGGTTTTAACTATATTATTTCATTTAGAGTATCCTTAGTCTGCACTGTGTGGATGGCAATTAAACTGCAAATCCGATCATATAATGTATCACTTCTTTTGGTTTTATATTATTTATACTCTGTGTTTTAACAAGTGATAAAGTGATATTCATCTTTATTTAGACTCTCAATATTTTTTAATGCACAACTGTAGCATAAAGATGCTTGTAAATATACTTCAACTTATGAGATTAACAGTATGCACATAAAATATTTTATTGGAATTAGGTTAAGTATTTAAATACAAAAACACTTTGCAATCACTTCCTTGAACACCTTTACTGACCTTTCATCACAGACCAGGAATACTTACCTAGGTATACTGTTTCTACTTCCATTAATATCAGGAATATACTTTTCATAAGAACATTTACATACATATTCTTAACATCATTGACTTGAAGAACAAATTGATAATACAGAAAAAAAAACTTTCTATTTTTTTAGAGTGGTTACCATCAGCTTGCATCTAACTTACTTAACACATTACTTCATATATATATATTTATACTCATGTGTTTGTATGAGATAATAAACACCTCGACATAGCAGAATATTTATTATGCTTTCATCCCTTGCAGCAAAAACATTTGGAGATCTCTGAAGAAATACTAGTAATAAATTTAGCAATGAGTATGTTAGCAAAGAGATAGAATGTTTGTACTTGACTTTTTCCTCCTTTTACAAACAGTTCAGAAATATACAGAGGAACAAGCATATACAAACTTACAGAGAAAGTAAATTTTCCGTGTTATGCTCTATTTCTCAGGACTGACAAGGGGAAATTTATTTTTACAGGAGTTCATATCTTTTGAGGATGTTGCTCTGGACTTTACCTGGGAGGAGTGGAAGGACCTGGAAGATACTCAGAAGATTCTATACAAGGATGTGATGCTGGAGACCTACAGCAACCTAATGTTTTTGGGTTAGTGGAACTCCCATAAAGCTGTCTGAAGTAATTACTGTCTTCTTTCATAGTAAATGTACAAAAGTTTCATAATGTTTAATGTTGTTTATGAGACAGATTTCATTCTGTGGTTAATGCGAGTGACACTCCTCTTTAACAAAATGCCCAAATCAGCCCATTTATTGCAAAGCTGATAAAGCTGAACCATTGTTACTCTTCAAGTAGCTTACCTGAATAGATTGGCAAAATTCCACACTGCTTTTTATTAACAGGACAATCCATTGCCAAACCTGCAGTGATCATCAAGTTGGAGCAAGGAGGAGATGCATGGACATTAGAAGAAATTCCCAGCTTGAGCCTCCTAGGTTAGTCAGTACATAGTTTTCAGGAACTAGTATAATACATTTTCTTTTAAAGAATTTATATTTCATTGATAGGGGAAAACAAAATGTTAGTACTGGTGAGGTTAGAAAAATGTAGAAATGTTTTCTTGGAATAAGAGTGTAAAAAAAATTGGTATATATTTTTAAAAGGATCCTACAGGATGGCATATTTAGGTTAATTAGTATGTATTTTTATTGGCTACAAGTCCTTCCTAAGTAATATTTCTTCTTAAGTAACAAGAGTTCTTTTGACTCCTGCAAATAGATGATCTAGAAAACTGTTGATATTAGCAAAGAAACAGTACACAATACCCACTGTTACAAGAAAGAAAAGAGAAAAGGGATAGGGAAAACAAATGACACATGGAAATCTTTCAATGTAAAATTATAAGAAGACAGGAGGTAGATATTTTGAATATTGATAAAGGTATTAAAGGAAAGCAAAGCATAAAGGAACAAAATGAATCCACTCAGCTTTCAAAAATATTAATATAAATTGCTACAGTAACATATTAAGGAGAAAAACGATGTTTCTTATTATAGATCAGTACCAATATTTAAAATATAAATGAGCAGTGTAAAATAAATTCTCAAATATAATTTATGGAAATGATTGTCTTTTTCAACCAAAGAGGATTGATATGGGAGAGACTGCTTGTAAATAGAATAAATATGGGAAAGCATGTGGTAAGACAGTTCTTATTGCCCAGTATATAGTTCACGTGTGGAAGAAACCATTCTACAAAAAGTCTTAACTATCTCATTTAGCAGAAGATGAGAAGATGATACACGAGATGCATGCTATAAATGTAGAGAATGTGAAATATTATTTTTTTAAATCATTTTTACAATAGATTTTAAATACAGAGTGAAAGATTCCTATTCATAAGAGTAAGAGGAATTCTTATTGTAGAATTAAAGTCTAGCTTTTCATCAGTGAGTGCACACAAGAGAAACACCTATAAATCTAAAAAACATAAAAAATCCTTTTTTAAGATGTGAAAAATTATGGTAAACAGAGAAATTACAAAGAAGTAAAACCTTGTGATGTGTAGAAATTATCAAATCTTTCAACTCTTGTTATACATGAGATAACTTTTACTGGAGAGAAAATTTGTAGATAAAAAAATATAGGAATTTATTGTGTCTGAACATACCCCTTACTGACCATTTGAAAACTTATACAGGAGAGAAGCTCTATAAGTGTAAACAATGTAAGAAAACTCAGAATTCAGACCTCACTATACATCAGAGAAATCACATAGGAGATAAATTCTATGAAAATAAATGTTCTACAAGAAGTCGTACTTCACTGTGCATCAGACAACTCACACTGGAGAGAAATCCTATGAATGTGAGGAATGTAGAAAACCCTTCAGTCCCAAGTCAGTCTTTTTTTTTTTTTTTTTTTTGGAAAGTTTTTTTTTTTGGGGGAGGG